CTTTTTCYGTCTCCTGTCTGTCCTTGTCCCTTTGACAGCAAGGGGCTGGAACCCAACCCAGCATGCATGCTCCAGAGGCTCAGGATCCTTAGCTTCTGCTGATGCAGCCCTGCCGTGGGCCTTTCTGGAAGCTTCTCCCCACTGGTGACCCAACCTGAGCTTGCCATCAGATGAAACTCGAAATTAATGCTTTTTGGTCCTCCCATCCCAAACCTGTTCCTATACAATGGGGATTCGGTGTCCAGGTACAGGAGTTTGTATTCATTCCTAGTGAATGTTTTCACCTATGTGCTTCTTGGACCTGTCTGCCACACCCTTGATGGCCAATGTGTGTGCACGGTCTCTCTCTCTCTCTCTCTCTCTCTCTCTCTCTCTCTCTCTCCCAGGTGTATGTCTGGTCAGTCCACTTCATGAGCATGGTCCGTTTTCCACTTCTTCAAAGTTGGAAAACCGAAGCTGTGTACACCTATCTTCCAGGGTTCTTCTGGTCACAGAGGGGTCTCAGGCTTGATGGCTTCATGACCAAGATTGCGCCCTCCGGGTCAGACTCTGTCCAGGCTGATACCTAACTTGGGAAGTTCATCTAGCCTCTGTGCCTCAGTGTTCTCTGTAAAACTGGAGTGACTATGTCCACCTTGGTATTTTGAGCATTAAACGGGACAGTGGTATTTTGAGCATTAAATGGGACAGTGGTTGGTCAAATAAATGCCTTCTCCTCCTTGCCACTTGGCTTCTCTAGGTCCCCAGTACTGTGTTCATACCCTGATATGCTCCTATGTCTGCTTGGTCATGCTTGACCTTAGTTATAAAAGGGGATCCAAAGCTGGGCATGGTGGCACATGCCTGTAATCCCAGCAGCTCTGGAGCCTGAGGCAGGAGGACCATGAGTTCAAAACTAGCAACTTAGTAAGGCCCTAAGCAACTCAGCGAGACCCTATCTATAAATGAAATATTGAAAAAAGGGGCTGGGGATGTGGCTGAGTGGGTTCAATCTCAAATACCAAACAAAACAAACAAACAAACAAAAAAGGGGAACCCAGGATTTCTGTAATGAAAGGGTTTCAGATGCCTCTTAATCCAGTCTCTTTGTGGTGTAGGTGAAAAGGCCCCGACCCTACTGCCATCCCTCTGTTACTTCATTTCACCCCAAAGTCGCTGTGTTACACCTTTTCTCTTTTCCTCAGTGCAATCAGTGAGGGCCGAGGCTCCAGCTTCCTGGATTTGTGACTCTCTGTGGGCTTGAGGGGTCCTCGGGGGTCTGTGYAGCTCAGGAGTTATGGGCCAGCTGGGACTGGGCTTTCAGTGCACTTGGCCCAACTTGTCAGTCACCTCCTGGGCCCAGTTGCATGGAAAAAAAAAATACCAGGGCCAATATGCTGACCACATTTTTATGTTCTCCATTCGAAWCCCAAATTTTCCCCATGGGGCCTGCTGGGAGCAATTCAGAAGAGAAAGGCAGAGACCATTCTCCAGCTGGCCAGGGAGGAGGGACACAGGGAGGATGAAGTAGAGTCTGTCTGAGGGCCAGGGGGTTAGAAGAGACAGGGTGACAGGAACAGGGACTTTATTTCTCTGAATTCTCCACAGTCCCTTCAAACCAAGGTTGGAAGTTACTCAACCACTTTTAGTCCCTCGAATACAGAAATGCCCAGGCCAGTCCTCTGCCGGAGAGGAATGAGGACCAGCTGATCTAGAATGTCCATGTTAGTTTTACAAAAGTGGGGTTGAGCATCGTGAGCCTGTTTCTTTCCAACCAAGGGGAAAGATGCAATAATCACTTCTGGAGATAAAGGACTTTGTAGGTCTGGGGTCGTGGCTCAGAGGCTGAGCAYTTGCCTGGCCCATGTGAGGCACTGGGTTTGATCCTCAGCACCACATAAATATAAATAAAATAAAGGTATTGTATCCATCTACAACTAAAATATATTAAAAACAATAGAAAGATAGGAAAGATGGTGGAATGAGTTGGACATCATTACCCAAGGTACATGTACGGCTGCACACGTCGGGCGACGCTACATCGTGTACAACCAGAGAAATGAAAAGCTGTGCCCCATTTGTGCACAATGAATTGAAACGCATTCTGCTATCGTGTATAACTAAGGAGAACAAATTTTTAAAATGTGAAAAAAAAAATATGTGGAAAATTTAAAAAAAAATAAAAAGGACTTTCTACACTGAAGGAACAAAGATGTTCCAGATTAAAGGAAAATCCTTTGAATTAATTTGGCTTCCTTAAAGCATCCCTAGATTTTTGTTCTATTTGCTTTTTTTTTGCGACAGTGGCGTGAGCCCTGTGCCTGGAATCTGAGACTTGGGATTTAATTCAGGATCTATCCCAGCAGGCTGTGAGTTTGGGTGAGGTGACCCATAGTGATAACACTGATCTTTTAGGGTGGTGGGGGCAGAGGGGCTGAGGAGAAGAGGAGGGCATCTGTGAAAAGACAGGCATGTGACATCAGTGTCCCGTTCAGTTCTCAGGAAAACATAATGAATGAATCTGGTGTCATCACGACCATTATACAAATCAGAAAACTGAGACTCAGAGGATAAGCCATCTGTCCAAGGTCACTCACAGACCCAGAGTTGGCACCCACATCTGCCTGCACGCAACCCCCCCAGTCTTTCCAGAAGGGCAGGCAGAAAGGAGGAAGGGCAGGGGACAAGAGGTGCCGGCAAGAGTCCCTGGTCCAGGCCTCAATGTGTGCTCTGTGAAACAGAAAGCCAGACCATCTTCTGAGCAGGGGGGCAGGGAAGCCTCAGGGGTGGCACAGGTTTGGAGGAGCTTCCCTGGCTCCAGAAGATTCTTGGAGATGGTGTTGCTGAGAAGCTGTTCAGCAGCTGGTTTTCTCTGTGACATGGGATAGGGGCAGGGTGACTATCTTGGTGTTTTGTTTTGCTTTTCCTATTGTCTCATTCATGAAGAAAAAACACATTTTTTTGTGTTTGTTTTGGGGATTTAAGACAGGGGTGCTTTACCCCCGAGCCGCATCCTCATCTCTTTTTATTTTATTTTTTTTTTAATTTTGAAACAGAATGTCAGTAACTTGCTTAGGGCCTCACAAAGTTGCTAAGGCTGGCCTCAAAAACTTGCAATCCTCCTGCCTCAGTCTCCAGAGGCATTGGAAACACAGGTGTGTGCCATCATATACAGCCAGATTTTGTTTTTTGCTTATCACTGAATCCCTAGACACTAGTACAGTGCTTGGCACATGGTAGTGAATTGCTTTATTTAATAAATAGTATAGAGTGCCTACTATGTGCTGGCTCTGTTGTAGGTGCTGGGGAACTGGCAATGACAAAGGCTGATTTAAACCCTGCCCTTGTATTCTAATAGGAGAGTCAGATTGTAAACACAGAGACCAACTAGTCAAAYAATCTCAGCTAGTAATGATCTGAGCAAAACAAGATTGAGTAATAGGATAGGCTGTGCCTGTCTCAGCGGGTGCCATTGAATATGACTGCAATGATGAGGTTATTTTTGCCCAGATGCAGGTATGGGGATGCAAAAGCCCTGTGGCAGGAGCAATCTTGGAATGTTCAAGGGAGCCAGAGGAAGGCTGGTTGGGAAGAGAGGAGACGAGGGTGGGAGAGAGTTGTAGGGAACGGAAGAGGGGTCAGACCATGTAAAACCTCATAAGCCAAGTTAAGAAGCTTGGATTTTATTCTAATTCCAGTAAGAAGTCTTTGGAAGGTATTAAGCAGTGGGAGGGATGTGATGTGATTTATGCTTTAAAACATTCACTCTGGCTTTTAGAAGGAGAGTGAGCTGGAGAGGGAAGGAAGAGTGGAAGCCAAGAGTGAGGGGCTGCTGCCGAGTTCGGGGTCAGAGGTAGTTACTAGGTCAAGGTCAGGATCAGGGACTAGGTTCCAGTAGCAACACAGAGATGAGAGCAGGGGCTGGGCTTGGACAGTAGGTCTTGCTGCTATGTCAGCTGTAAAGAAAAAAGGGAGTTGGGGATGCTCTCCACAGTTTTGGGACAGAGTCGCCACTGCTCTCAATGAGTTGGGGGAAACCAGGGAAAGAAGAAATTGGGGAGAAAGTATTGAAGTGAAGAATCCGCTTAAAATACCTAGTAGACATCTGTAATGGATTCCCCAAAAAGATCTGCCGAAGTCCTGAAATCCAATACCCATGAATGTGACCTTATTTGCAGAGGTGATCAAGTTAAGATGAGGTCCTTAGAGTAGCCCTGATCCACTATTACAAGTGTCCTTATAACAAGAGGAAAACTGGACCCAGACACATACTCAGAGGGCGCCAGATAAAGACACAGACACCGAGGGAAGGCCACCAGGTGAAGATGGAGACAGCAGAGCCTGGAGTGACGCTGCCACATGCCAAGGAGGACCTGGGCCCACCAGAAGATGGAACGGCAAGGAAAGGGCCTTGATTTTGGACTTCTGGCATCCACAACTGAAAGACAATACATTTCTGGTTTATCTATCTACCTATCTATCTATCCATCCATCCCAAGGATTGAACCCTGGGGTTCTCCACCCTGAGCCACATCCCCAGCCCTATTTGTTTACTTATAAATTTTGAGACAGGGTCTCACTAAATGGCTTAGGGCAAAATTGCTGAATCTGGCCTCTAACATGCCTCATCCTCCTGAGTTGCTGAGATTACAAACATGCGCTACTGTGGCGGGCCGATCTCTGTTGTTTTGAGCCACAGGGTTTGCAGCAATTTTTAAAGCCAAAGGACAAGATGAGATTGCCCAGGTAGTGAGTCATTTAGGGTTAAGAGAGCACAGACTGTCCATGAAGCAGGGGTGGGCGCATTCCAGGGAGAAGAAAGTAGTCCATGTGTCAAGTCAGGCTGGCTTTGGCTTTTGGATTTGGCAAGTTGAAGGTTATGATGACCTTGACAAGAAAGGTGTCAGCAGGGTCTTGGAGACAAATCAAACTGGAGTAAAACAAGGWGAGGTTATCCAAGAATGTGCAGAGTAATCACAGAGAACTGACTTGAGTTTTGCTATAAAATGACAAAGAAGGGTTTGGGTGTAGCTTAGTGGTAAAGCACTTGCCTAGCATGCATGAGGCCCTGGGTTCAATCCTCAGCACCCAAAAATTTAAAAATAAAAATATACATCAAAGACGAAGAAGTGGGGCCTTAATCTGGAAAAAGATACAGGAGTCTCAGGAAGGTATATATATATATTTTTAAATTTTTTAAGCGAGAAATCTTTCATCATATTTTTATGTTTGTGATCATGACTAGGGGTGGAGGAGAGGCTGAGGATCAGGAAGAAAGGGGATAATGCAAGGAGCAAAGGCACAGGAGAAGTAGAAATGGAAGGATCCGGAGCAGAAACGGAGATTGGCTCTAAAGAGGGACAGATGCTTTGTCTCTTACAACGACAAGGAAGGCAGAGACCCTGAGAGGACATCTCAGGGTCTGGAGTTTATCTGTTTGCACTGGTTTGTGTTTATGATACCAGTGAAGCATGGGGCAGAATTGTAGAGAGGGGTAGTAGAGCTGGAGTGCTGAAGAGAGAGGGGAGAGAGAGGGGGAGCGGGGCGGGACAGAGCCATATCTGGGGACCAGGGGAAGAGGAACACACCAGGGAAGTGTGGAAGGCTTGTTGGGCAGGGCTGAGTGCTCTTTTGAGATTTAAAGTGGTAAATTTAGAGTGAGGTCATTCAAATTGGGCATGATGGCTCACGCCTATAATCCCAGAGATTTGAGGCCGATGCAGGAGGATCGCAAGTTCAAAGCCTCAGAATTTAGCAAGACTCTGTGTCAAAATAAAAACTAAGAAGGACTGGGGATGTAGGTCAGTGGTAATATGCCCCCGGATTCAATTYTACTATGAAGAAGAAGAAGAAGAAGGGTAGATGGTTAACTGGGGAGGAAGAGGAGAAAAAGTTAGGGTGAGACCAATGAATAAGCAGGTTGCATGATGTTCTTCAATTGTTCAGCTGTTCGGTACAGGTGAAGGGTAGATGGTTAGCTGGGTTTAATCAGGATCGGGGCTTGCCCAGTTAGTACCATGGAAGAAAAGAGAGGCAAGGAAGATAAAGGAGAGATAGCGAGGACCACGGAAACTAGGATGGAGAAGGAGAAGTGTTCCCCTGTGAGGCCTGATGGGCAGCAAACTGGCTCTGTGAATTAGGTCCCAGGGAGAATGAAGAATAGTTGGAAGGAGGATCTCAAAAAAAGTTAACTGGGCCAGGTGCAGTGGTGCAGGACTGTAATTCCAGTGGCTAGGGAGGCTAAGGCAAGAGGATTGCAAGTTCAAAGCCAGCCTCAGCAACTTAGCAAGGCCCTAAGCAACTCAGTGAGACCCTGTCTCTAAAAAAATATATATAAAAAGGGCTGAAGATGTGCTTCCTTGGGTTTAATGCCTGGAAAAGAAGAGAAAAGAAAAAAAGTTAATTGGAAGGATGGGACGTATCAGTGACAGATACCTGAAAGTGAGGTTATTGGAAGTACGGGGAATGGTGAGGATGCCATCTAGGGGCTGCGAATGTGAGCAAAAGGAGGAGACAGAAGCAAAGTGGCAGGAGGTGGGGTCTAACCCAGCTCCTATGAGAGGTGCTGGGGTTCCTGCAGGAGGAACAGGTCTGGCTCTTGAAGCAGCCACTGTCTTCTCACACTCCAGCCCTCTGTGGGAAGGGCTGCCGGGGGCAGCCAGGGGTCAGCCAGGGGTCAGCCAGGGATCAATGGAGCAAGACAGTGAAAGGACTGCTCAGAGAAGGGTTTAAGGGCAGAGGGACATTGGCTGGTGGCACACTGAGTTCCAGATGACACGGTTGAAAGGTCTGGGAGTACAAGAAGAGATGGGAGATGAGATTCAATGAGCAGTTGCCCAGTGGGGTGGGGATCGCTAGGATGAGAGAGGAGGGGAGGGCTTGGGATGTGAGGTGCAGGGGGTTTGTCCAGAAACTGTCATTGAGGAAGACGAGTTGTCAGTAAAGCTGTATTACAAGAGCTGATGATGTGGCTCAGTGGTAAAGATCATTCCTAGCATGCATGAGGCCCTGGGCTCATTCCTTAGCACAGCAAAGAATAAATAAATTTAAAAAAAAATAAAGCTACACGTAGTCCCAAATATTTAGCTGCCAAGGATGAAGACTCTGTTGGTCAAAAGTATGAATGAAACAAATCCTTGTATCCCTGAGGCACCTAGTGCTATGCCAGGGCTGTGGTATATTTGTTGATTAAAACTGTGGCTCTATGTCTATATTTATATCCTATATTGGATACTCTGGTGACTGTAGTAGGAGCAGATTCTAGCATCACACACAAGTACTCGGAATCCTGTGGGTGATGATTATTCCTGAGTACATGCAAGTTTTTAATATGGAAATAGTAACCCACTTCATTCCTTCCACAAAATTATCCCTGTGCCCACAACCGACTGGGGATTGGACTGTAGTTGGATTTTGCCTTTAGTTGGATTTTGCCTTAATTGAGGTAGACAGGAGGCAAAGGCGCAGGTCAGGAAGGTGAGCTGTCCAATGTTGGAGCTGCAGGAACTTGCTGCCCGCCAGTGGCTGCCCCAGACTGCAACAGTGGACTCTTCTCTGAAAACTCAGCTGAATAAGAAGCAGCCATATGGTTTCCTAAGTCTGGAAGATGGCCATCCCAGCCCTGGGCCTTTGATTTTCCTTCATTTCCCCTTAGCGGCTTCTCTCCAGAATAAACTATACTTTATATATATATATATATATATATATATATATATATATATATATATATATATATATATATATATATATACCAGGGATTGAACCCAGAGGTGCTTAACCACTGAGCCACATCCCCAGCCCTGTTTTTTTTTTTTTTTTTTGTATTTATTTAGAGACAGAGTCTCTCTGAGTTGCTTAGAGCCTTGCTAAGTTGCTGAGGCGGGCTTTGAACTCTCAATCCTCCTGCCTCAGCCTCCTGAGCCGCTGGGATTACAGGCGTGCCCCACCATGCCCAGCTGCTACTTCTTTTTAATTCCTGTTTTTCTAGTCTTTCTGGCAGCATCTACCGTCCTCCTTGTTTTATGGAGGCTGGAGCCACTATGTGCCCTTCCCTCCCCAGAATCTCCTATAAAATGCTTCTCTCCTACCCCGGCTCCTCCCGCAAGGGCACTAGACGCACTAGATGTTAAGTGCCCAAAGTGTTTTTTCTTTAGAGGCCTCTAAAGTTGTCATGCCCTAGTGTCTGAGGTGAGCTGGCCTGGCCTCTCTGTGTCTCTTTGTGCTGGCAGATGAATGGCTGCCCTGTCTGGCCCTGGGACCTCAATGCCTGCAGGGTAACAGGAGATAGCCCCCTCCCCTCCTTAGGCTCTGCACCTGCTGCTCTCAGCTTTCCTCTGGGCCCACAGGGTGCCAGTCAGGTAGGCAGCTCACCAAGCCTCAGAAGTGCAGCACTAGATGAGCAGTATGGGAGTCCTTCCCTGCCCTGGACTCAATGGGGCCTGCTGAGGGGCTGCCCAGACCCATGGCCTTTCCTCCCCGTCACCCTGCTCTGTCTCCTCTCATCTCCCATTACCTGCAGGGATTTGGATCTAAGCGGCTGCTGGGATGCCGTTTCCCACTGTGAAGGGGAGTTTGAACTGTGGCTCTCCTCTGCTTGGCCATCGACACTGCTGCCTGGAGAAAGGTGTTGTGCAAACCCTCAGGCCAGAGTCACCTTCTGAAGGATAGACTAGGATTCTGTTCCATATAAAACATCCTGGTGTTTCAAACTGTGAAACTTGATCCAGTTCAACAAAGGTACATGGACTGTCTATTTTAGTGTTGTTATATTGCCTTATTATCTCCTTAAAATATTTCCTTATTCATTTTGGACAGGTAAAATGTATCTGTACATGTACATGGTACAACATCACAACTACTAGAGGGTAAACCATGAAAAAATACAGCTCTTGTATTTTTGGGGGGATGCGTACCCAGGATTGAACTCAGGGGCATTCGATCACTGAGCCACATCCCCAGCCCTAGTTTTAATTTTTTTTTTAGAGACGGGGTCTCACTGAGTTTCTTAGTGCCTTGGCTTTGCTGAAAGGCTGACTTTGAACTCGTGATCCTCCTGTCTCAGCCTCCTGAACTGCTGGGATTACAGGCATGTGCCACCATGCCCAGCTTCTTGTATGTTTTTCTGCAGATATTCCACATGCATGTAATCTCACTTTTCCTGGGGCTTCATTTCTTCATGACAGCCTTCTCAGATGGACGTTACAAATCCTGGTGGGAGGATGAGGGAACTGTGGTCAGAAAGGCTAAGTGTAGAGTATGTTATTGACCATGACTGTGTGAGTCCAAAGCTCACCAGTGTCTGCTGTAACATGTTCCCAAATCTGCCCTTTAATTATTTCCTTCCTATCTAGCATAGTCACTCACTGTTCAGCAGGGTTGACTCCAGAGCCTTGGTGTGCAGAGCCCTGTCCCAGGTGCTGAAGGCTGCCACGAAGGCAGGGGATCATTTAGCCCCTAGCCCACTTTGCTCACTGATGAGCTGGGTAAACCAGCCAATGCCTGAAGTCTAGTAGAGAGAAAGCAGGGAGTCACACATTCTGCTTGGCCATTGAATTTGTATGGCACCAGGCAAGACACTCCCCATTGCTCCTCCTCAGTTTCTCTGATGAAAATAAACTTAACTCACATGGCTGTTACTGGCTGTTATGAGTTGGGATAAAGGTAGAAGTTCTGGGAATGCCCGCAGGTGGAAAGGAGTCCAGGACAGAGCATGAACAGCTTTCCCCATATGAGGACCAAGGGTTACAGAATGACATTGGGAAGTGGTAAGTTGAAGCAGGGATGTCATTGACTGGGGTATCTTTAGCAGGCAGAGTTGGTCCAGTTTCAGCAGACAGTGACTCCAAGTAAAATGGGGGTAGGGACCATGGCTGGCCTGAGTGTGGTAGCTCCTAGTTTCCCCAGTTYGTAACCAGGCCCACCTCCCTCTGGGCTCCCTCCCTTCATTTAGTGACCTTCTAGTGAGCCCCTTACTAGCAGAGCAGCTCAGAGTCCCTTCTGCCCAGAACTCTTTTCCTCCCCATCCTGTTCTGTCATCCTTTTGATCTCATTTCCTTAGAGAGGCTTCTCTGGATTCCCCAGGGTAGATGAGTAG